GATGTCTGGGAGATTTTTAAGCAAGTTGAACTTGAATCTATCCATTCCTGAAGCTGAGTTGTTACATGACACAAGAGCAAGTGAGATTCCACCATCGAAAACGGAGAATCTATTTCGTTATTACCCGAAGGACGATCACGAACGTTGGTTTGAACCGGTACCGAATCCGGGCCAACTTTCCGCGCGAAGCTGAATATCCAACTGTCTGAGTACTCCTTGCCTTCGTTGACCGGTGATGACGCGTTGCGCATTCTCCTGCCGACATTCCAGAGCGTTCTCATGGAAATCTCTCGTCACAAACCATCGACGAATCGACGCCAGTAACCGCGTTTTTAGCTTTAATCAAGCCTTTGAACGTTTTCTCGAGGTCGGTGTACCGCTCCAAATCCTTGACCTTACCGTGTTTGCGGAAGCGTTTATACGCTGCAGACTTCTCGCTGTTCGCGTCGGTGAAATCCTTATCCCACCACGGGGTGGGAGGTCGCTTGCGAACGGAAACACCCGGAACACGTTTCGTCTGTGCTCGCAGCGTACAATCGATGATAAGACGCGCGAGAAAGGAGTACTCGTCCAGTGGAGGAAGTGTTTCAACCGATTGACTGGCATCAAGAACCGCGGTCGCGAATTTTCGCCAGTCAATGTTTTTCGTAAGATCGTACGCGATGTTAACCGAGCGAGTAGAAGATGAACCATTGATTGGCAAATGATCACTACCGTAGGGATCTTGGATTACTTTCCACGAGCAATCCAACGATAGTGAACTTGAACAAAGTGAGAGGTCTAATCTGCTTACTTTTGCTGAAGGTTTGGTTACTCGTGTTGCTTCCCCGGTTTTCAGAATTGTCATTTTGAAGATGTCGCACATGTCGTATATCAAGGTTGAGCGGTTGTCGTCGTACAGTTCCCCCCAGCCTGTACCGTGAGAGTTAAAATCTCTCAAGATCAACCGTGGCTCCGGCAAAGTCAAGAAACTCTGACGAGAAATCGCAGTTCTCGGTGGAAGATATACTGAGGCAATACTGAGGCATTTACCTCGAATGTTAACCTGACATGCAACAACTTCAATGCCTGTCACCGAAGGCAGACACCAACTTTCAAAACCAGATTTAATACCATATTCACACTCGAATCGGTTGAAAAGTACAATTAATTTTCAAGTTTACTCGATATCAATCCATTGCAAGTAATATTTTGATAATTGTTTATGTTTTGAGAGTTGGTGCACACGGAGATTGAGGTTAAGGAAACGCCACTGATAATACTTAAAAAATAAATAAGAGTGTTCCAAGGATATTATGAGGAGCATTTCAAAGTATTAATTTGAATTCTGAGCAGAACTAAAATTGAATTCCTCTGGATATTCTATGGGAATTAAAGGATAATTCCAACCGGTGGAAACTAACGAATTTAATTTGGCTTACACGTGACTAGCCTATTGGTACACTAGTACATCGATTAAAGTACCCCATTTTAGTCGAAATTCTAGTACTACACTATGTTTGTTTTGATCTAAGAGAAGAGGTGACAATACGAGGGCAAAAATGAACCACTTTTCTGTCAAACGTGAACCAGCTCCTGATTGGCCGATTTCATGTGCGTAAGATAGAGATAGAGGTAGATAAAGATAGAGATATAAATAAAAGAGGAAGAAGTCAATTGTCACCTCTTCCTCTTAGGTTTTGATTCGCTATGAAAGTTTGACAGATAAAATTAGGGGTTCGTGGATTTTGCTATATTTTGAAGGGTGCATCGATTAGCTTGGGACCGAAGAGAGTACCAGAGCTGAGCCAAAAAGTTGAGCACGTTTCTGCGCGACCTTTTGGTCTTAGAGTTACCTCTATGATAATCCTAAGTGCATACAGAGGAAAATTCCAAGTGATTTTTCAGGATTATTTTTCGGGGAATTGCTAGAATTAGTAATCTATGAATACATTGCAGAGTGCATTCAGAGAGTGTTCTGCAAAAGATTTTAGGAGTATCATGGAAGACATTATACGAGAATTTTTTTTTTCCATAAAAATCGAGATCCTGGACACAAAAAAAATGAAATTCTGAGGCTTAGATTTTTTTAAGATTTCATGCTTAGAAAATTATATGATACTGGATTTAGAAAAATCTTCATGGTTTAGGGTGTTTTATTTAAAGTTAAATATTCCTGACACGGAGGTAGGATTAAGGAGAAGACTACGGAACGTGAGAAGTTTTCATGTTCAAAAACTAGCATAAATCTAGATAGAGCTGGAATTAGGGCGTAACAGCCTTTGTAAACAATGACTTCTCTCGATGATTTCTAGGAACTCTTGGCACGCCCAGGCAAACCAATATAACCATCGGATAGGGGACGTCTTGCCCTACCCGATGGTGCTGTTGATTTACGTTGGCGAGTCTTCACTTTCTAGAAATCATCGAAAGAAGTCATTGTTTACAAAAGCTGTTCCGCCCTAATTCCAGGTCTATCTAGAAATATCTACAAAAGCAATTACGCCCAAATCTCAAATCACTCCGGATATTTGAAATGCCGATGTTTGAAATTTATGGTTGCGAACTTGAAATTCTAGATAGAGCTGGAATTAGGGCGAAACAGCTTTTGTAAATAATGACTTCTCTCGATGATCTCTAGAAAGCCAATGCCCGCTCACTCAAATTAACGTCACCATCTGGTAGGGAAAGACATCCCCTTCCCGTTGGTTATGTTGGTTTGCGTGGGCGTGCCTTGAGTTTCGAGAAATCATCGATTGAAGTCATTGTTACGCCCTAGTTCCAGCTCTATCAAGAATTAATCAAATGGCTGAGATTTTATTCTTCTAATTTTGGGACAGGGCTGGCAAATGTGATTTTCAATGAAAGATCTCACACGATATTTACAGAGATACTTCTGTCACTATCACCGCATGAGAAAACGATGATGAGAGATTTACTTCCTTTACTTACTTCGATTTGTTTTGTCATGACAGAACGTGACAGTGTTGTTAACATCACAATTACTAGCACATTTATTGATATTATTGTTACTTGTACCGCGGAAATCTTAAAATTTACCATCAACCGTAACTATAGAGTATTTCCAGGTGAAACCTGCCAGAAAAATCTCTTTCCGATTGTTTTCAGTATTGGAAATTATGATTTTTCCACAGATCACGAAACCATTTTGACTCGAATAATTTTTGAAAAGGGCGTATGTGTTTCACACATGAATAATAAATAAAAATATAGTAGAAGAAATAGATGTAATGTCGGCCTATATGCCCCAAATTTGGGCCCATACATAAATTCAGCAATCGACTAAATTTTCAATAGCGACCAAACATATCCATCAGTACCGTCCCAATGACGCGTTCATCTAGATAAAATTGATAAATATCAAATGTTTAGCGATGGACCCAATCTTAGATCCATAAGCCAACATTAGAGCCATTTCCCCTATGTGATTTTTTTCATTTCTTTTCTGCGATGACTTTCTGTCATAAGACAATTTATAAAAGTTAATCCAAGATAGAGCACTTTAAAAAAAAGGTTCCTGGAAGAAAAAACTTCACTTTTCATGATTTTTTCAAATTTGATGAATTCGAATGAATAAGACTATTACAACAATTGAATATAATTCTTTAAGTTATAACAAATAAAAATGATCTTGGTGACCAACATCCCAAACGTAGCCGTTTTTAAACATATTATAAAAATGATGTTTAGAAAATTGGCATTTTCTCGAAGATAAGCCCTTTCTATACGTATCTCGTGATTCTCCATCTGAACCGCTGTACAATGCCAAAGATGTGCATACAATTTCCTACAGGTCATCTTTTGACACCAAGAAGATTAGGCAAAATTGTAAACGAGTGAAAGATTGAATTAATAAATTGTTTTAGACATCTCGAATTTGATCAAGACCAACAATTGAAATGGCCTCAACTCCATTTTGTATACAAACCTTGTAAGGCCATTTTCTTGCGAACCGAAGCCTACATTCGCAAACCTAAACCACAATCGTGTAGAGGAGAATTTCCCCTACCTGTTCATTATGTTGGTTTCCCTTGGCGGACTTCGGACTAATCTTGGAATTAAAAAAAAAAGTTTAAACCGTGAACTATATTTAAAAAAAATATGACTGACCAACTTGGCCTGTTGGTCTAATGGATGCTTGCCTTTGGCACAGTTTTTGGTGACCTCAATACCATTCGAAAGAGAAGTGAGGAGCAGAGGGTTATAAAGTTGCATGTTTGTAACTGAACTTTCAAAGTTGAATCTTCAATTTACGATGCTGCATGTCGTATATTTCGAATGTTTGAAATGTGAATCGAAGCTTTGTTGATTCGGGAATTACACTTCCTAATCTATTTGGAAATTTTGATTTAATGATAAAACGTAAAACATAAATAATCTCGTAGTCCTACCTCAATAATGGGTCGTGTCTCGGACACAATCGCTAGCTTTACCAGTAATGAGTTCGGGTTCCAGTATTTTTTAAATACCCCTTCAAATATGTACCCCTGCAATTGCTTATGACATCGTTATGCATTAATTTCTCGTATTCTTTCGGATAAAGCAGCATCCTCGTCGAGACTGCAACGCTAGAGGACTCGATCAAGGAATTTCCGATCGTGAGATTAATATAAACAACAGGCAGTACCTTTACCACATGAAATCAACGCCTAACACGTAATGTATCAAGGTGTTTGATGCACATCCAATAAATCGAGCTGTGAGGAAGACATCCAATCTGCCTACAAACAACCCGACCGATTAGATCAATTAGTTACAATGTTCTTCGACACCTACGCTCTGTTTGCCCCCCATAAAGAGTATCACATACATTCATTCCACCCGACTCCCCACGCACATCACTTCGCTTTGTCAATCAAATTGAGTCCATGACGTCAGCGATTCGTGTGAACCACAACAGCACTAGGACCAGCAGCTTTGACACAGCACAGTGACGTTAACGTTATGTATACGGCAACTTTGGAAAACACATTCAATATGGTTCCACGAAAATGGCTTACCTTGGACCGCTGGAAGCCATCCGGATTCATGCTTGGCATCAGGAAGATGGCGGTACTGTTGACCAGCGCCCCAATCTCTGGATCCTGTTCGTAATTGTTGACCAAATACTGCGTCAAGTAGATCAGCAGCTCACGACCGACAGTTTCGTCACCGTGCATGTTGGCCACGTACTTAAACATTGGCATCAGCAGTGGCCTCGGTCGATCGATATTTGGTCTGATTTCCACGGCCAACAGCGGGCGGTTCTCCAGTGAAGATCCGACTATGTGCACTTTCACCATGGATGGATGGTTCTTCTGGAGCCGTGCCAGCAGATCCTGCAGCTCATCGTTGGACTCATAGTGCGGATTCTGGAGAAAACTTTCGTTCTCGATTATGGCCCCAGCGGGGGACGAACCTTTCTGCAGCGTGAAGCCATTAGCGAGAAATACGAAACAGTTAAGGACAATCACTAGCACTGCGGATAATTTCCTATTCTGAACCATTATCCAGCTTCTTCTGTCGGCTGTCTTCCGCTCTCCGGAGGAACGAGCAGCACAAATTTCACAATATGGAATCAAGATTTTCTTTCTCTTCCTGGTAGTAAGCACTTTTCTCACACTAGCACACAGCAGCTACGAAATTTCACTTCCAACTTCGACTAATCAGCCGAAAATCGGTTTTCTTTTTCTGGGAGCAGCGGGTCGTCTGCCACCCACGCAGGGGGGGTTGGAAAATTATTTTCCTGATTCTTCAGTTTGCGTACAGGGAAAATCCACAACAGGCGACGGACGACTACGACGTGTGCTTCTCAGACGGAGGAAAATTCGCATTTACATTACGATTCACTCCACCACAACCTGCGACGCGACGACTATACGGACGAAGGACTTTTCTGGAAGGTGAACGGAGAGCTGTCAAAAGAAGTGAAACGCGAGCAACATGAGAGAGATTCATCGACATGGGAAATATATCCGGAGATTTATGAGATTTGGGCGTAATTGCTTTTGTAAACAAAGCCGTCAATTGCAAAATTCTCTTGAATTAAAGCTCAATCTCAAAAACAAACTATACCAAATTATAGAGGAATCATTCCTCTACCTCAAAACGTTATTAGTTTTTGAGATTGAGCTTTTATTCGCGGGAAATCGGTGATTGACGTGTTTGTTTACAAATGCAATTACGCCCAAATCTCAAATCACTCCGGATATATAAATAGGTCTAACAGTGATAATCTGCCATCTCTTTTATTCTACCGCTGTTCTTTTCGACGTAAGTTTGACGTCACACTGCTAGATGCAGAACAACAGGAGCAGAAGAGGGAAAAAACGACTTAACCACACTGCCAGGCCTGATCTCAACGTTATTGAGTAAGAGTGGTTGTGTTGCCAGGGTGGCCAGATTATTTTTTTCATTATCGGTAGTTTCTCAAAACATTTATCGGTAGTTATCGGTAGGTAGGCTTTCCCGATACTTGAAACTTTAGTGAGCGGGGGAGGGGGGATGAATATGTGCTCCAGAACAATACACTGCCCTTCAGTTCTTCTGCTTTAAACGTGTCAAAATCATTTTTTCTATTATTATTATTATTTAGCTTTATTTAGGAGGCTTTCAGCCTTAGGCTGGTTCGCCTCCAAGGCCCAATTTTTCTATTTATAATCTAAAAATCTGTGATTCTCGGTAGGAAAAGTGAAAAATCGGTAGTTTTGAACCTTTCGTCTGTGAATCGGTAGGCACCCCGAAAATCGGTAGGACTACCGATAAATCGGTAGGTCTGGCCACCCTGTGTGTTGCGTTCGTTATTCACACTATTTCAAAACTACCCTAATTTGGGTAAAATCCACCCAGATCCGGCCAAACTGAACCTACCCAAAAATGGGTAAACTGTGTTGAGAGTGACAAGTTGACAAATGAACAACATTGACAATAATCCGATCGACATTATTCATTTGTCAACTTGTCACTCCCAACACAGTTTACCCATTTTTTAATAGTTTCAGTTTTGACGGATCTGGGTAGATCCTACCCAAATTTGGGTAGTTTTGAAATAGCGTGATACGCTCGTTGCGCTCCATCTGGATTTTGAATTGGCGTTGACGGCACCGTCGAAAAATTTGCTCTTCCAGCAAATATAGACAGTTTCTTATGGGAATTTTCGGTGGAGTGAAAGGATAGTACAAAGTCCGCCATGTTTCACGCACAGTCTGACGTTTGCTTATGGATTTTCTTATAGGAGTAAAGAGCTACAGAGTCGCCGTCAACGCCAATGGTGTTGGTGACTTTCACACGGTGTTTCGCGAAAACCCATTAATGGGTATAAAAATACCCATTTCCGCTAAAAGTGCCCCTCCTCATTTAATGGGTAAACTATGGTTTACTCATAAATGGGTAAACGCGTGGTCTGTCAATAAATGGGTATTTTTTCACCCATTTTCTTAAATTGTGTTTACCGTAAAATGGGTGAAAAAATACCCATTTTTACAATTGGAGGATGCAAGTGCTCGTTGATGTAAAAATGTTTCTAAAACATTGAAAACAAATGCAGGTGTTCCGCTCAAATTTTTCACGAAACATTATCATACAAATTATCCATTGTATTGACTTATCCGTAAGCCTCTCCAACGTTTTGGATTCTAATATTTTCCGGAGATCGTCATGTTCGCCAAATATGCTGCGGACAGTAACTGTTTGCATCGAGGTTTGCATTCCCAATGAGCCGGTGACGGAAATGAGACGATAAAATTTCGAAGTGTTTTTTCACCCATTAATGGGTAAAAAATATACCCATTATTCAACCGTGAACTGATTCTTTAAATGGGTATTTTTTCACCCATTTTATGATTTCAAAATTCCCCCATTTTTTGACAGCTGCATACATGGTTTGAAAATGGGTATTTTTTTACCCATTAATGGGTTTTCACGAAACACCGTGCACAGAAATTCAAAACAACCCAAAATTAAGTTCTTTTCACTCATCTCCCATGTTCCGTACGATAAGCCAAATTTGGGTAAACCGGCTCAAAGTAGTTTGCATTTAAGCACGGCAAAAAAAATTACCCATCGCTAAGTTATTTTCAATTTTTTCTACCCAAAATTAAGTTCAATTAACTCAAATTTGGGTATATCGCATATTACTCAATTTTGGCTTCTTGTACGGAACTAGACGGTTGAGTCGAATCTTTCGTTCTATTTTTGACAACAATAGCGAGAGGAAATGAAACGGACAGAGGTCAAATAACTCAAATTTGAGTTTAAAAAACCCAAGCGGTGGGTAGTTTTGTTTTTCTGTGTGCACGGTGTTTTCTGGATCAACAATAGAAAAAGGCCCATCAGCATTTGTAAACAAACTGTTTGAAAGCCCTTTCCGCATAAAGCAAAGGCCGCCCACGCAAACGAACACCATCATCGTGTAGGGTAAACTTTCTCCTATCCGATGATAGTGTTGGTTTGCGTGAGTGGCCTTCGCTTTGTGAGGAAAGGGCTTTATAACGGTTTGTTTACAAATGCTGATGGGCCCTTTTCTATTAATGATCCAGTTTTGTTTTGATTTTTTATTTATTTATTTGAAGCCTCGTTAATTGACAAATCCAAGTTTCAATCGGCCACCGTGGCGCTGCAATCGCAGCGGTGATAAGTCCGAAATAATGTGTCAAACTGAATACATTTTTGAAATTTCAACCAAAAAACTATTATTTTGTATTTATTCTAGCGAGTTTCTGTGGGAGTCAAAACATGATCCGAGCAAAAAAGTAGTACTCGTAATAATGGTATATAATTCTGAATTTTATCGTGCTTTGTTTCGAAAATATCTTCCAAATAAACAAACATCATCCAGATCACCCGATTCGTCCACCGACTAAATCTATAGGCCTTTTTAATAGAAACTAAACGATCGATTCAGCCTCTGGTGGTGAATAGGAGAACGTCAAAAAGAGTGTTGTGAGCATAAATTTTTGCCTTGAGACATAGGAAGCGGAACACTTTTTTACTTTTCCTGATAAATTGATTCATCTGAGATGCTGCAAAACTTAGGCTGTGTTCCATTTGGCGAATTTTCACTTAAATTTGACACTTCGAAACTAAATTATAATGTTCGAAAATCCCTCTGTTGTTGATCGGCCAATTTTCGAGAAGGTGTGTGTCAAAATTGATTCCTTGTCTGTCAGATATAAGTCTGCTGGAATAGCAGGTTAATTTGGAAATTTTCCATCTGTCAAGTTTAAGTGAAAATTCGCCAAATGGAGCACAGCCTTAATCTACAGTTGAAAAATTCAATTCTGTAACGTTTTTGAAAAGATCCTGCTGGTGTTCAGCAATATTTTTGTTGAGAAAAATGGAAAATTAGAAAAGTGCCTTAGTGGTTATGATCTTCCGGATATCTTGTGTGTGAATAGTTAAGGTACAAATCAGTTCAGATTTGTGGAAAATCGTACAATAAGACAATTACCGATGGAAATTGGTAAGATTTTGAATGAAAAATGCTGTTATTTGCGTTGGGGAAAATACTTATTCTGATGTAAACAAACGGATGGTTGACGTTTCTTCTCGAACTTGCGTGGCACACTCTACGTTGGTGGTGCATTAAAAAGGCGTATTGCCACTTAAAAATTAATTTCAGTCGGTGTATTAATCAGCAGATTAAATCGTTTTTCGTCTGGTGCTACACCGAGCAATCGGCCTATTTAATGATTTTTCGTCGATGGATTTAGTCGGCCAACTTTGTCTGCTGTTTAATCGGCAGGTGATTTCAAACCTTAACATGTTTTCTGTAATTTAACTGTCTTGAAGTAGCTTTTTATTTAAGAACAATGCATTACAAAATATTTTATGCATTTTGTACAAGGTTCATCCATGCTGACAAGAAATTTGCATGAAATTACATTGAAATTAAACAATTTTGCAAACAAACAATGAAATACGCCTTTTTAATGCACCACCAACGTAGAGTGCGCCATGCGAGTTCGAGAAGAAACGTCAACCAAACCGTTTGTTTACATCAGAATAAGTATTTTCCCCAACGCAAATAACTGCATTTTTTATTCAAAATCTTGCCAATTTCCATCGTTAATTGTCTTATTGTACGATTCTCCACAAATCTGAACTGATTTGCACCTTAACTATTCACACACAAGAAATCCGGAAGATCATAACCACTAAGGCACTTTTCTAATTTTCCATTTTTCTCAACAAAAATATTCCTGAACACCAGCAGGATATTTTCAAAAACGTTACAGAATTTAATTTTTCAACTGTAGATTAAGTTTTGCAGCATCTCAGATGAATCAATTTATCAGGAAAAGTAAAAAAGTGTTCCGCTTCCTATGTCTCAAGGCAACAATTTATGCTCACAACACTCTTGTTGACGTTCTCCTATTCACCACCAGAGGCTGAATCGATCGTTAAGTTTCTATTGAAAAGGCCTATTGTCAAGGGCTGTCACAGACTTATCACCGTCGGTTAGTGCTTATTCCTGCCACCAGGCACGCAGGAGTTTAAGTTGGATTTCTCAATTGAGAAATCCAACTTAAACTCCTGCGCGCCTGGTGGCAGGAATAAGCACTAACCGACGGTGATAAGTCTGTGACAGCCCTTGAAAATTTCATTGATTGTTTGCCAAATTATTTAATTTCAATGTAATTTCATGAAAATTTGTTGTCAGTATGTATGAATCTTGTACAAAATGCTTAAAACTATTTTGTAATGCATTGTTCTTAAATAAAAAGCTACTTCAAGACTTATAAATCACTGAAAACATGTTAAGGTTTGAAATCATCTGCCGATTAAACCCAGGATTAAACAGCAGACAAAGTTGGCCGACTAAATCAATCGACGAAAAACTATTAAATAGGCCGATTGCTCGGTGTAGCACCA